CAGTTCTTCATGGTGTGGTGACCCCAACCATAAAATTATTTCATGGCTAATTCATAACTAACTTTGCTACTGCTTTGAATCGTAATGTAAATATCTTATATGCAGGATGTATTTTCATTGTTACAAATTGAACATAAACAATTAAAGCATAGCAATTAATCACAAAACAATATGTAATTATGTATTGTGAAATATTTTTGTGTTTTCCAGTAGTCTTAGGCGACCTCTGTGAAAGGGTTGTTCGACCCCCCCAAAGGGGTCACGACCCACAGGTTGAGAAACGCTGTTCTAGAGGCATATACATACCAGTGTAATCAACCAAGAGAAAACAGGGATAGAAATTGAAAAGAAGAAATGAAACACTATAGATATTGTGACAATATACCTAAACAATCAATGACAGAACTGATTTAAACTAAAGAATTCAGTAAGGTGGTGGGATATAAGATTAATAAACAGCAATCACCGGTCATATACACAAAAAGTAAGTCAGAAAATATAAATGGCATTTTTTCTTCATTATTAAGAGTGGTGGGGAAAGGTAAAAATAGTTAAGAAGTAATGAGCAGTGTTTGAAAACAGTGAAGAAAACAAAACAAAAAACCAGACTCACATCGAGTTGATGCTAACTCACAGCAACCCTCTGTGATGGGGTGAAACTGCTTCTGTGGGTTTCCGAGACTAACTCTTCATGGGAGTAGAAAGCCTCATCTTTCGTCCAAGGAGCAGCTGGTGATTTCGAACTGCTGACCTTGCAGTTAGCAGCCCAACATGTAGGAAGAAAAGAAAGCACTCCTGGAAAACCCATTTCAGAGATGAACAAGTGGGAATATAGCCTTGGTTCTTGGTTCACTCACTCACTGCCATTAAATCAATTCTGACTCATGGCGACCCTGTAGGACAGAGTAGAAGTGCCCTTGTAAATTTTCAAGGCTACACATCTTTATGGGATCAGAAAGCCTCGTCCTACCCCCGTGGTGTGGCTGGTGGGTTCAAACTACTGACCTTGTGGTTAATAGCCCAACTGGTAACCC